ATCTGACTCTTGATCTCAGCTCAGGTCTTGATCTCAGAGTTGTGGGTTCAAGCCTCATGTTGGGCTCCACACTGGGAGTGGAGCCTACTTAAAAAAAAATATTTATGAGTGCATTCTTATTATAAAAATTAATAAATGCATTCTTATTATAAAAATTAATAAGAAATGGATTAAACCCTCCTTTACTTCTTTCTAAAAAAGTTTTAATTCCAGTGTAGTTAACATACAGTGTTATACTCAGATACCACCTCATGCCAGTCAGAGTGGCTAAACTGAACAAATCAGGAGACAACAGATGCTGGAGAGGATGTGGAGAAACGGGAACCCTCTTGCACTGCTGGTGGGAATGCAAACTGGTGCAGCCACTCTGGAAAACAGGGTGGAGGTTCCTCAAAAAGTTAAAAATAGATCTACCCTATGACCCAGCAATAGCACTGCTAAGAATTTACCCACGGGATACAGGAGTGTTGATGCATAGGGGCACTTGTACCCCAATGTTTATAGCAGCACTCTCAACAATAGCCAAATTATGGAAAGAGCCTAAATGTCCATCAACTGATGAATGGATAAAGAAATTGTGGTTTATATACACAACGGAATACTACGTGGCAATGAGAAAGAATGAAATATGGCCTTTTGTAGCAACGTGGATGGAACTGGAGAGTGTTATGCTAAGTGACATAAGTCATACAGAGAAAGATAGATACCATATGTTTTTACTCTTATGTTGATCCTGAGAAACGTAACAGAGGACCATGGGGAAGGAAAAAAAAAGGTTAGAGAGGGAGGGAGCCAAATCATAAGAGACTCTTGACAACTGAGAACAAACTGAGGGTTGATGGGGGTGGGAGGGAGGCGAAAGTGGGAGATGGGCATTGAGGAGGGCACCTGTTGGGATGAGCACTGGGTGTTGTATGGAAACCAATTTGACAATACATTTCATATTAAAAAAAAAAAACATACAGTGTTACATTAGTATCAGGTATACAATATAGTGATTGAAAGCTTCCATACATAAACTAGTGCTCAACACGCCAAGTGCACTCCTTAATCCCCATCACCTATTTCACCCATCCCCCCACCCACTTCCCCTCGACCCAGCTCCCCTCTGGTACCTGTCAGTTTGTTCTCTGTAGTTAAGAATCTGTTTCTTGGTTTGTTTCTCTCTCTCTCTTTTTCCTTTGCTCATTTGTTTTGTTTCTTAATTCCACATATGAGTGAAGTCATATTGTATTTGTCTTTCTCTAACTTATTTCACTTAGCATTATACTCTGTAGCTCCATCCACGTCATTGCAAATGACAAGATTTCATTCTTTTTTATGGCAAAATAAAATTCCATTGTATATGTATATATACACACATATACATATATACATATACATATGTATACATATACACACATATACACACGTATATGTATACATATATTTATGTGTGTGTGTGTGTATACATACACACAGAACATCTTCTTTATCCATTTTTTAATTGATGGATACTTGGGCTCCTCCATAATTTAGCTATTATAATTAATGCCCCTATAAACATAGGGGTGCATGTATCCCTTCTAATTATTGTTTTTGTATCTTTTTGTGTAAATACCCAGTAGTGTCATTAGTGGATTATAGGGTAGTTCTGTTTTTAACTTTTTGAGGAACCTCATACCGTGGCAAGTGGCTGCACCAGTTTGCATTCCCACCAATAGTGGAATGCAATTTCCTCCACATCCTTGACAACACTTGTTATTTATTGTGTTTTTATTTTAGCCATTCTGATAGGTGTGAGATGATATCTCATTGTGGTTGTTGGGTTGTTTTTTTTTTTTTTTTTACAAACTTTATTTATTATTTTTTTACATTTATTTATGAGACACAGAGACAGAGCACAAGAGAGAGAGGGAGACACAGAAACCAAAGCAGGCTCCAGGCTCTGAGGGGTCAGCACAGAGCCCCATGCGGGGCTTGAACTCACAAACTGTGAGGTCATGACCTGAGGTGAAGTTGGTCCCTTAACCAACTGAGCCACCCAGGCGCCCCTCATTGTGGTTTCAATTTGCACTTCCCTGGTGATGAGTGATGTTGAGCATCTTTTAATGTGTGTGTTGACCATCTGGATGTCTTCTTTGGAGAAATATCTGTTCATGTCTTCCACCCATTTTTCAGTTGGATTATTTGTTTTTTGGATGTTGAGTTGTATCAGCTCTTTATTATACATTTTGGACACTAACCCTGTATCAGATGTATCATTTGCAAATATTTCCTCCCATTCAATAGGTTGCCTGTTAGTTTTGTTGATTGTTTCCTTCACTGTGCAGAAACCTTTTATTTTGATGTAGTTCCAAAAGTTTATTTTTGCTTTTATTTCCCTTGCCTCAGGAGACATATCTAGAAAAATGTTGCTACAGCCAATGTCAGAAACTCTCCTGTACCTCTGATCATCTCCAGTATATTTTGTAACTGGCTTTCTTCCATTGATTCCATGATAAAGTCTATATTCCAGGATAAACCTTGCCCATTCCAATTTTCCAATATCCCTGATACTCTTTTTTTCTTGTCAGTTCATGTTCCTAATAGTTCTTACTTCATCCCTACCTTTACATATGCAGTTCCTCCTGTTTTGAATCCCCCTTCTTCTTTTCTGTCTTCCCACTCTATCTATTTCTTAAGACTCATTTCAGTTCCTATCTGCTCCATGGAAACTTCTACTTTCTCCAGCCCATAATGCTTTTTCCCAGGACATCTCTGCACCCAAATACTTATTACTCCTATTTCTTTTAATCTTTCATGTGTTAGCTTACCAGATTATAAACTCCTTGCATATCTTACCTTTCTTTGTATGCTTCACAGCCCTTACCTGGCTACGTAGGTGTTCACCAAGTTAATTCAAATTGAACTGGTTAGTGTTGGAGATTAGCTATTCCAACCTTGTAACTTTTTTTTTTTTGATGGAAAAACTATTTGGTAATTGGTTCTTATGTTTCATTATTATGTCACCGGGGCTGGTCCTCAGCTATCCAAATTGGTAAGAGAAGATATCCTCCTCCCACAGGCTTGCACATATGGCACCCAGCTCAGGCTGGCATGGGGAGAGAGCAGAAGAAGCAATCTGCTTCAGCTGGTTACTAAGTTTGTAGCTTAAGAGATTTGAGGTATTAAATACTCTGTTCAAGCTGTTCAGCTAATTTTATTAAATGCATATTCACAGAGGAAACTTTTCTTTCTAAAGGACTAACATTAATATCCCTTTTTGAAAACTAGCTTTTATTTGTGAGAATCTTTGAAAAGTTCTTTTTATCTAGGAGGTTTGAGAATTCTACCACTGAACCACCAGTGCTCACAGGTTTGATATTTTGGTTTGAAGGCCATTCATTTCTGGCAATTCGACAGACTTTCTAGTGGGTGATTAATTTTTCAAACTTTTTTGAACAGTACCTAATTAGGGGGAATTACTTTGCTTGTTGCATCAAAAACAGCCTCTTTCTCCTTTGATATTATGGTGAGTGTGGAATTGATTTTTAGTGGTAATGAATGTGACGAGCTCAGTGACTAATACCATTTCAGGCTGTCATATGTATCTTCACTCTCTGCTTTACACAGGAGAAACATGTGAGCCTGTTACATATTGAGTCCCGAAAATCAAAGAGAAGAAACTCAGAATTTGAGATCTTTATTGACTGTGATATCAACAGAGAACAATTGAATGATATTTTTCATCTGTTGAAGTCCTACACTAACGTTCTCTCTGTGAATCCACCAGATAATTTTACTGTGAAAGAAGATGGTAAGTTCGAAAAGTGAAAATCCCGCTGAGAAGATTAAGTACATCATGTGTGTCCAATCTTGTATTTATCTTGGAGGCATGAAAATAAAGATAAAACACTGTCTCCTCAAATTTCTTACAGTCTAGTAGTGAAGGAAACCCCAAATGTAATTGCTTAAAATACTACAGAACAATTATAAAGCAACATTTTTATCAAGTGTGAGGGAACATGAAAAGGAAACGTTGGGTGCAAGAAAGAATTCAGAATAGTTAGAAATTGATTAAGTTTTCTCAGTTTCCAAATCATCAAACATTTCTTGATTTCACAAACCTTCAATTTACAATCCCCAAGCCCTTAGAGACTCCCACAGAGCCTACCATCTGGCAGATATTAAGTGAATGTTCAAATTTGTTGAGAATGTTGACAGTTGCTGATGATTATGGTATGAATACACTTTTTACATACTCCTCCCTGTCTCCACTTCCACCAAAAGCAAGTGAAAAGCAACACAGCCTTCTAAGGTTTCAGATGGCTAAGATCTTCTGTTGTGAAAAAAAAATCCTCATAGTTTACTTGGGACAAAAGACAAAAGGATAATCCAACCACATTACATATATGTTACTCAATTTAAAATAGTCTCTTTAGATTATGCACGACATTAGGGTATAATCAGGACTGATGCCGATCTGTTATGCATTTGCATGGCTGTGTAAGTTATTAAAATACTAATATGCTTCCATTTCTAAGTGGCAGATAGCTGCTTCCCCAAATCCCTTGAGTGTCCCCACCATGCCCAAAGTCCCTGTGCTCCAGATGCTATCTTAGGTGTCCCAGGCCCACCACAAACAAACAAAGGATTAACATCTGGCAGAGCAGGAGCCTAGGACTGGTGCCCCTGTGGTATTCGGGGTTAAATCTGACTATCAATTCTGGGTATGTTACAAAGAGCATTAAATGGCTAGAACAAGAAGGATTGAATTCTAGTCCTCTCTCTTCCAATAGAGATGAGTTACCTTGGATAAATTACTTCTCATCTCTGAGCTTTGGTTGCCTCATCTATAGAATGAAGAATTTTTTAGGGGCTAAATGGTTCAGTTGGTGTTTAGGGAACACCAAGTTGTGTCAGATGTCTCTACTAAGAAACAGGGATACAGATATACGTAGTCCCTCCCCTAGAGTCCTTCCCATTCTTTCCTGTAAGACACAGATATGAACAGATAATGTTTTAAAGAATCAGAAACAGTGTCACAGGAGCCCAGAGGACGGAGAAATAGCTCAACCTACAAGGTCAGGGGAGGTTCATTAGATCTGAGTCTTGAAGGAAGAGAAGGATATTTTCAGGAAAACAGAAGGATGGGGTGAAGGAGGAAGTGGGGGTGGGGTATAGGTATTCCAGGGAGGAGAATAGCATATGCAAAAACCCCAGAGTTCTCAGAGGGCCTGTATGTCTCAGGGAGGGTGAGAGATCAGAGTGGCAAAGACATAAATGGTCTCTAAGATCCTTTGCATCAACAAAAATAAGCGTTCATTCTTATTAAATTTGTACCTTTGGTCTGCAAAGTTGTACATCCTTACTCTGCTTTTTTAAGGATAGCTGGGTTTTAGTTGTTTTTTTTTGTTTTTTGTTTTTTTTTTTGTATGCTGAGTCTCTTTCAAGCACAGCATTCCAACACCAGAACTCAAGGAAATCAAAAAAAGTTTTAAGCTCAAAACTTTTGGATAAACTTTACTTATTAAGAGATAGAGCAATATACTTGTATAAATTTTGCCTCAAAGTACAAGCTAAAATTAAAAATCTTCTCCAGGGGCGCCTGGGTGGCTCAGTCGGTTAAGCGGCGACTTAGCTCAGGTCTGTTGCTAGGTCCAGTGGTAGTTCAAGCCGCAAGCGTCGGAGGTGTGTCAGCCATTAGACATTGCTAGTGACACTTCAGACGACCTGTCTATTTCAGTTCGTGTCCCTCTCTCTGACTCCACTCCCCCAGTTATCTGTGTTGCTCTCTTGTCTCAAAAATAAATAGCGAGCGGCCTGGGTGGCTGGGTGGGTTAGCTCGACGTACCAGCCAGGTCCGATCTGCAGTGTTGACCCAGCGTCGAGGCTTGACACCTGTCAGGCTGAGCCTACCAGAGCCTGAGTAGCCTGTTTCGGATTCTGTGTCTCCCTCTGTCTGCTCGCCCTCGCCCGTTCATGCTCTGTCTCTCTCTGTCCCAAAAATAAATAAACGTTGAAAAAAAATTAAAAAAAAAATAAATAAACGTTAAAAAAATAAATAAATAAAATAAAATAAAAATCTCCTCCAAATGTATCCATGACTTTCTTAATTTCTTCTTCCTTCTTGCCTTATTTAAGATCATCTATTCCACATTCAGTGGTTTTGTATTTTGCAGGTATGGAAACTGTTCCTTGGTTTCCAAAGAAGATTTCTGACCTGGATCATTGTGCCAACAGAGTTCTGATGTATGGATCTGAACTGGATGCAGACCATCCTGTAAGTATCTTTAATAAATCTTTTCAAGAGACTATTTTAAATCAAACTAAAAATTAAGGGAAATTATTTTCTTTTTTGGAGATTGTGGTTATTCTAGACTAAATAGGATCTTGTTTCACTCTGGATTTTGGGAAGTTCTGGTAGTCTTCCTTGTTGGTGGAATCCAGACTAAAGGCCTGAAGAGCATCCAACCTCAGTGGCTCCAAAACACCTGTCGCATGCCTGGCATTCCTATTACTAAGAGCTATTCCAAAAGTTATTCTAAAATGAAGACAGAATCTGAAGCAGTTTTTATTTATTTATTTATCTATTTATTTGTTAATGTTTTATTTATATCTGAGAGAAAGAGACAGAGCATGAGGGGGAGAGGGACAGAGAGAGAAGGAGACACAGAATTGGAAGCAGGCTTCAGGCTCTGAGCTGTCAGCACAGATCCTGATGCAGGGCTCGAACTCACAAACTGTGAGATCATGACCTGAGCTGAAGTCAGACGCTCAACTGACTGCCCCACCCAGGCGCCCCTGCAGCAGTTTTTACTAAAGTGGGGCATGGATTGTTGGAAAGGCATGTAAAGATAGGAGCGAGAAAGACTGTCCAGCATGATTGCTTTATTAGGTGGTTGATGAACTACGAAATTGTTTCTTTGGAAAATTACCTGGGAGACAGTATAGGCATGAGTTGGAGAATTAGTAAGCCCAAAGCATCAGGGTTGTTTATGGAGCTCTTCGGTCCTGGGAAGGTGGAGAAAAAAGATCGCAATTCTGGAGTCAACACCAAGGTTTTGATCTGCCACTTACTAGCTGTATACATTGACTGTGTATTGCCTTAGCCAGTCCTTAGCTGATCTGCCTATTTTTTTTTCTATAATATCTTATTAGGCAACTTATTAATTGGGATTAATACATTGCTGTACTTGCTCAGTTGGAAAGATAAAGCACACATATATGAATAAACACAAGATCAAATTGTGAAAAGTGCTAAGTGGCACGGATAAATTGCTTTGAGATGTACACAAGAAGACAAACACGTCTGGTTGAAGAGGTCAGAGGTCAACCTCTTAACTAGGCTTTGAAGGATTTTGGCAGGAAAGAGATGGAGAGGAAAGATAATTCATTGCAACATGAGCAAAGGGTCAGAGGCAAGAAAATCTGGGTCATGTTTACGGAGAGGTGACTAAGTCAGTTTTACTGATCTACTACCAAGTACTGCTGATTTTGATATCCTAAATTTTGCTTCAATTTGTTCCTTATTTATACCACACCTTTAACTCATCTCCCAGCTTCCAGCTTGCCACCTTAAACCCATACTCCTCATAGTCACTAGAGCAATCTAAAACCTCAGGATGAAAAATAAAAAAATAAAATAAAAAAAAAAAGAAACAGGGCACCTGGGTGGCTCAGTTGGTTAAGCGTCCGACTTCAACTCAGGTCACGATCTCGTGGTCCGTGAGTTCGAGCCCCGCGTCGGGCTCTGGGCTGACTGCTCAGAGCCTGGACCCTGCTTCCGATTCTGTGTCTCCCTCTCTCTCTGCCCCTCCCCCGTTCATGCTCTGTCTCTCTCTGTCTCAAAAATAAATAAACGTTAAAAAAAAAAAACCTCAGGATGATCATTATCCCTTTTCTGACTAAAGATCACCACTGATACCTAGGTACACATCTAAGAAAATTGAAAACATATGTCCACGCAAAAACTTGTACACAAATGTTCATAGTGGCAAAAAGTGGTCCATCCACTAGTGAATAGACAAGTAAAGTTTGATATGTCCCTAAAATATAATATTATTGGCCATAAAAAAGCATGAAATACTGATATATGCTACAATATGAATGAACCTTGAAAACTGATAGTAAAAGAAGCCGGTCACAAAAGACCATATGTTATGTGATTCTTTTTATATGAAATGCCCAGAATATGCAAATTCATAGAAACAGAAAGTAGATTAGTGGCTGCCAGGGTCTGAAGGTGAAGGGAAATGGGGAGAGTTTGTGAATGAGTATGGTGTATTCTTTTGGGGATAAACATTTTTTGAAATCATAGTAGAGGTAGTTGCACAACACTGTGAATGTACTAAAAATCACTACTCTGTACACTTTAAGATTTTATGGTGTGTGAATTATATCAATAAAGCTGTTACTCACTCACTCACTCACTGATTGATTGATTGATTGATTGATTTATAGAAATCACCAGTGGCTTCCCATTACCCAAAGATGGAATCCAGGCTGTTTCAGACCTTTCCTAGCAGACCTCAAACCAGTCCACTCCATGCCCCACCTCCTCCTCCAAACTCCAGCAACACTGGGTTGCTCCTGTTTCCCTAGGCCCAGAATGCTGTTTTTCAGCTCTGCACTGTCACTGCTGCTGTCCTTTCTGGCCTTTTCCATCCAGCTATCTCCTTTCCTCTTTTGAGACTTAGCTTAGGAGTCGTTGTTGGGAAACCTTTCCTGACCTACCCCCCGTCCCCCATACTCTTTCACATACTGTCTGGGTTGGGACTTTCTCTCTCTTTCAAAGTTTCTCTTTTGAGTCCCAGTGGCATTTTGTGCATATCTCTAATAAGGCAGTTATCATATTGTTTCATAATAATTGGTGGATATAAACTCCTTGAAGACTCAGATTGTGCTTCATTCATATTTGTTTCTCTGGATTTTAGCACAAGGCCAGGTGCATAGTAGGGGTTTGTTAATCTGTGTTAAAGAGAAGGAGACTCATTCTCCCCTTTCATTCTCCCCTTGTTTCCTATTTTGCATTATTGGCTGTTTTCGCCTGGGTTTTGCATTTTGATGTCTTATTTTATCTATTTTTTAAAAAATTTTTTCCTAGGTATAGAGTCTAATGTTACTATGTTATCTTTTTATTATCATTGTTTGCCTTTGCAAATATGATTATGTTTGCATTCTGCGATAAAATCTAAGGCTAGATTAAGTTGTCATGATTTTGTGTATTAACTACTATTTTATTAGTAATTACTATTACAGGAAACTATAACTGAAGATGTAGTCAAACGATTAAGAAAAAAAGAATCTCACCCTTGGTAAAGAGTTGTGTATTTAACTAGGATGCTGCTTTTCTTATTCCTCAAACTATTTTATTTTTGTAGCCACTATAGGATTTTTGTGTCTTTGTATCTATAGAATCTTTTGTCCTGGTAGCAACTATCGCATAAAGCTTTCATGTAACATCGACTTTCAAATAAAAATGATCATCAATTTCTAAACAATGCTTACTCAAAATAATTCTGTAGCCCTTTAATTTCATAGCTTGAGTAAAAGTGAAATGTTTCCTAAAGATCATTTGTCAAGTATTTTTTAGGGTGGATATTTAAAAACTTTTCTTTAATTATCAGGGCTTCAAAGACAATGTCTACCGTAAAAGACGAAAGTATTTTGCAGACTTGGCTATGAACTATAAGCAGTAAGTATATTATAAATAACACATATAAAATAAATGAATAGAATAAGTTATACTCATTTAGTAAATAGAAAGTGAGTGCTACTATTTATTGAATGCTAATTCAAACTAACATCTGTGTCTCATTAGTGGAGACCCCATTCCCAAGGTTGAATTCACTGAAGAGGAGATTAAGACCTGGGGAACCGTGTTCCGAGAGCTGAACAAACTTTACCCAACCCATGCCTGCAGAGAGTATCTCAAAAACTTACCTTTGCTTTCTAAATATTGTGGATACCGGGAAGATAATATCCCACAATTGGAAGATGTCTCAAACTTTTTAAAAGGTAATAAGTGAATTACTTTTTTGTAAGGGGAATGTTGAACTCTGTTGTGATCATGACAGAATTAAAAAAAATTTTTTAATGTTTATTTTCGAGAGAGAGAGAGAGACAGAGCGTGAGCAGGAGAGGCGCAGAGAGAGAGGGAGACACAGAATCCGAAGCAGGCTCCAGGCTCTGAGCTGTCAGCACAGAGCCCGACATGGGGCTTGAACTCATGAACCGCGAGATCATGACCTGAGCCGAAGTCGGACATTTAGCCAGTTGAACCATCCAGGAGCCCCATCCATGACAGAATTTTTAATAAAAGAATAAAGTCAAGGGGCTCCTGGGTGGCTTAGTCAGTTAAATGTCCGACTTCAGCTCAGGTCATGGTCTCATGGTTTGTGGGTTCAAGCCCCGCATTAGGCTCTGCACCAACAGTGCAGAGCCTGCATGGGATTCTCTCTCTCCCTCTCTCTCTCTGTCACTCGCCCCACTTACATTCTCTTTCTCTGTCTTAAAATAAATAAATAAACTTAAAAAATTGTTAAAGAAGAAGAAAGTCAAGTACATAGGAGGTCAGATTTTCCTTACTCCGTCCTGGAGTATTGGATCCAGTATGGGGCACCCCATTTGAAGAGGGACAATCATAACCTGGAGCCGGTGTAGAGGAAAGTGAGCAGAATTATAAGGGGATTGGAAAACATAGTATATAAATAAAATTTGGAGGACTCTTAGGATATTTAGCCTGGAGATTTAGAGGACATTATAGCTTTATTTAGGTACCAGATGATCATCTTATGTAAGAGAGGAATTACTATGTGGTCCTAAAGTAAATGACAATTGGATTGAAACTGCAAGCTTTTGGCTCAAAATGGAGAAGACCTTGTGTTAAAAGAGCCATTTAGAAATGGAACAGGCTCATGAGATGATTATTTCTGCCTCCCCAGAGGTTTTCATACAAAAGCTCTATACCCACTTGTCTGGGATATGGTAGAGGAGATTCAGGTTTCTTAGGGGAAGATTGGTGTAAATGATCTCTGAAGCTCCTTTCCACACTAAGACTCTATCAGTTTCCCAAGGAAGATGAGCAAGTAGAGGCATTAACAGAGTAGGTTAATTTTTTTCCTTTTAGTTCTTCATGCTTATTTGGTGCAGGTTTCCTTATTTTTTCTAGCTAGTTTAGGATGTAACATGATCAGTAATTTCCAGGGTTTACAGTATGTAAGAAAAATATATATCCCCTTTGATCTCAGGGAACAAATAGAAGTTATGCTTTTCACTCAAATGGTTTAGTTTATTTCCACCGTGGTCCGAAATTCCTATCACTGAATTTCTTACATAGATTGTCATAAAAGTCTATGAATTTACTCAGCTCCATAATTCTTATTAGTCAACCACTATGCACAAAACTAAGAACTAAACAGGAAAAGGCATGATAGTTTTACAAGGGAAGATTTCGTGTACATGGTTCCTATAAAAACCAGATTTAAAAAATAGTGATGAAGGATGACAGAGAACCAATGCACATGACCTCGTGGGTCTTACAAAGATGGACAAGTATATGCTATGGAAGTTATCAAATTAAATTTGCTTGAGATTTGGAGGAAATATTTTGTTATGGGTACAAAACTGAAAGCTATTCACTTGGGGTCTGGAGCTTGAATTGTCTGCAGAACATGTTGCTACAGGTGTTTCAAGAGAAACTGCCAAAGAGGGAAACCAAACTTAAATGATACTTCAAACAAAACATCAGTTGGAAGGAGTTCTCTGCACTGTCAAATATGGTAGTCCCTAGACACATGTGGTTGCTTAAATAATTCAAATGAATGTAAATCAAAATGTTAGTTTTCTATCCACCCTAGCCACATTTCAAGTGCTTAATAGCCATATGTGGTTAGTGGCTACCCTATTGGGCAGCCTAGATATAGAACATTTACATTATCATGGAGAGTTCTATTGGACCACGAAATCTACCCATCAGAGTGGGAGAATCCAAGTACAAAGCAACGGGGTGGAACTGGAAGATCAGAGGGTGAGGGTTTGAAATGAATGGAAAGAGTAGAGCTTATAGAGTTCCCCTGACCCACTGTGGCCTACTGGCTGGTCTCTTTTTATAGAGGGCATACGCAGTTATAGCTGTTGGGGAATAAACGAGCACCATCCAGTTTAGAGAAAGTATAGAAACTACTTTGCAAGAGGTAATACTGGCTAAAAATGGCATAGATTAAAAAATCGTTCTGATTTCAATTAATAGATCTTCTTAGTTTTTTTTTTTTTTTTTTGCAAAAGGAAGTAAGATTGTCTAAGAGATATTCTAAACCCTTTAGGGAGACAATAAGGTGTAATATAAGGAGACCTGGGCTCCCTTTCTACTTTTATTATCTACTGTGTGACCTTGGATACTTACTAAGTCTCTGAGACTCGGTTTTATAGTCATCACAATGAGGAGAATAAACTTTAATTCAAATTGCAAACATGAAAGGGGGTATGATGTATAAGGTCTAACTCATTGCCTGACCATAGTAAGTGCTTAATAATTATCACTTCCCCTTAGTGCACACATGACACATTTTAGTTTCCATGTTCTCCCTCAAAGTGTTACTTGGTACCACTGGCAGTATTAAAGCGTGGCGGTAACTGGTCTGTTTGGGTGAAGATTTTCTTCATTTTCTCCTTTGCTTTGCAGAGCGCACAGGTTTTTCCATCCGTCCTGTGGCTGGTTACTTATCACCAAGAGATTTCTTATCAGGTTTAGCCTTTCGAGTTTTTCACTGCACACAGTATGTGAGACACAGTTCAGACCCTCTCTATACCCCAGAGCCGTGAGTACTTCTACTTCAGCCTTCATTCATCAAATAGTATTTGTCATAGTGGTACTCACGTCATGAGTTTTGTGTGAAGATTAAATGAATGAACGCATGTGAAGCATTGAGAATAATGCCTGGCACATGATACATGCTCCATGCTCTGCATATGTTAGCCATTAGCATTACTATTAGTAACTGACAACCTGTTAGGTGCCAGGTGCTATCCTAAGCATAGGGAGTGTAGCATTGAAAAAAATCAGGCAGAAATTTCTGCCTTCATAGAATTTATATTCCAATGGGGGATAAGGATAATAAACAAGTAAATAACATATTATATTTGATGGTGAAAAGTGCTATGGAGAAAGGTAAAGCAGAGCAGGAGGAAAAAAGTGTTATGTGTGGAGTGTTTCTGTTTTGAAAAGGGTGATCAGACAAGGACTCACTGAGAAGGTGAAATTTGAGCAGAGACTTGATTTGGTGGGGGTGTGGGGGGCACATGTCTATGGGTATCCTATGTGTGTATGTTTCTGAGTGGCCTAGGTTTTGAACCAAAATAGTTTCTCTGCTACATTGTTAGTGTCCTTTGTGATCTATTTCCAAGTAATACCACCTGAATAGAAGGAAGATGAGATTCTGGCTTGATTGAATTGTTGATTTTGCATTTATGTGTGACATAAGCATCACAGTGTGACAAACTTGTACCTCTTTTTCAGAGATACCTGCCATGAACTCTTAGGTCATGTCCCCCTGTTGGCTGAACCTAGTTTTGCTCAATTCTCCCAAGAAATTGGCCTGGCTTCTCTTGGAGCTTCAGAGGAGGCTGTTCAAAAACTGGCAACGGTATAAATCTGAAAATAGCTGTGTAGATCAGTAATTCTTATCTGGGGTGGGATGTGAGTGTCAGATTCAAGATGGCTGTTAGATTTGTCTTTGTTCATATTTAATTTAATTTAAATGATTTCTTATTTATTTATTTATTTATTTATTTATTTATTTATTTATTTTTAATATGAGATTTATTG